GCCAGTATCGTCCCCCTAACCCCTTTACAAGGGGAAGGCTATAATGCATGAAAGCCTTACACTGGCATTTCTCATTAATTTTAACAAGTAGATAAAGTAAATTAGTGTAATCGCCAATTTAAGTTACATAAATTGATTAATATATTATAGGTAAATTTAATTTGCCTATTGTATTAAAACACTGCATTGTGCTACAAGGTTTATCCTTAATTCCTAGTAGCATGCCTTAAATCTTAACTAAACCCTACAATCCATTTAATGCTATGGAAGGACCGTAAATGGTTATAGATGAAAGCTGCATCTTATTTAAAACTTTCTATCCTAGCAAGCTAATAAGCACCACTAATGCAAAGCACACTTGAGTGCTGCTACTCACCCATGATCTGCACCGAGCGAAGACGATAATGGCCTGTGATTACTTGACGGTCGCCGAGGCTGAGGATGCTTTTCAAGATGACTGCTGGCTGCCCATTCAGGGTTTTTGTCTACGGAAGGTTAAAATTAACGTTCATGTTTAGGATTGTAAAGAATGGCTGATTCAAGTGCAAAGTGCTAATAACGGTGCAGGATCTTGAAGTTACTTATTTGGTAATAAATCCTATTTATAGATTCAAGCGTTTAGTGACTTTAGTCCCTGAAAACTATTGTATTACAGGCAGAGAACAGCCATTTATCAGAGCTATATGCTAACCAACTGAAATTCATATCTTATAAAAGGACGTATTTATTAATCAATTTAAATTTTTTTTTTTATATGAACTTTAAATTATTACTAGAATCATATTTCATTACAGAACTGAACTTACCAGAACCCGGGGAGTGAAGAGATTGTGAACACTCAGTATATCCATGTAAACTTGCCCAGGGATCACCTGCCATCTAGGACAGGTCTTTCTTAGAACCCGAGAACTCCACTCGGAAAGGTTCACACCATTCACCTGTAAGACCACGTTGCCACATTAATATTTTAACTATACACAAATAACTTCGAAATTTTCAAGGCTAAAAAAAAATGCACCCTAATTTCTAAGTGTAACACTGCATAAAGCATTATGCAGTACTAAGCCTCTAAGCAGATTAATTACTGCCCTTTAATGTCTATTCATATCTCCTAAAGATATGACTTAGTTGCTAGTAAACTTACTATATACCAGTTTTAGCACAGTAAAATTATCTCCCTGAGGAAGGGATACTGTCAAGCAGCAAATCTCTTCACAATTTTGAAGGTTCACCTCAACTGCCGTAACAAGGGTAACAAATCCCTTAACCTTTAATGAAAAGACAAATATTTCAACCCCCCTTAAAATATCTAACTTCCCGAGATTAAAAAAAAAAAAGGGGGGGGGGGACAACTTCTCACCGTGTCCTTCAGAGCAACGTGCTGAACATCCAGGTTCATGAAGTTAACAGTAGGGAGCAGATCGGTGTTAGTGTCAAGGAGCCAGTACTCTTCCATTGCCGCCTCAGTGATCAAGTGCTCCTTAACGCGTACGGTACTCGCAGTAGCACCTGTCACCAGCCTCACAGTACCTGCAACCAGTGAAGATTGATTTCTGCTGGATATTAATTTTTGGTAATTTTATAAAGAAATAACTTTCGCACTAAATACTCAACTACAGGATTGCACAGGTGACTGAAAACTTTACTTACCGAAGATAGTGAGGGAATCTTGTACCACCCGAGCACAAAGCTTATTAATATCAAAACCATTTATGTCTAATGCTTGAAAGTTGCCGGAGATGGTGACTGTGGCCAGGAAAGTTTTGGTTGCGGTGAAGGTTGAGAGAGACGTGGTGGAAAGGATGGCATCCTCAGACAAATCCCAGCCTTGCACAAGACCATTTACGCTCACCCAGTCCGCAGATACTTCGTCTGAGAAATTTATTAGATGGCTAAAGAAGCATGACTAATTTGTGTTTTAGTACAGCAGTAACTTACTAAAGGCAAGGAATAATTAGCAAAGTTTTATTATATGCTTGGGTGGAACAGCATTAGCACGTTCAAATGATTTCCATTCAATCTTGTGTATTTACGCCTCGTTAAATGACTGTTACCGTCCTATTTACACACATTTCGATATTACCTCTAAATATATTACGAGAATGTTCTGGAAAAGTGACTATTTGTTTACCAAGCTTTTTTTTTTTAGATTTCTTTTATCATTTTAGTGTATTTTTTCAACACGTCGGCCATCATCATCAGGTAGAGCGACTCAAACACTTTCATCATTCACACAATCACTGTTTGCGCCCTGATACAACAGTTAATGCGTTTTATTGTTGGGGATCATTGTTTCACAGTTCCCAATTAATACAACTTTTATAAATCATTGCAAAAGATTGAATATGTGCTTTGTTTCCATAAGAAAAATTAAGGATTAAAGAAAATCTCCCTATTTAAGCCAAATGGGGTGATGGGGTTTTTAGTTCGTGTAAGCCGCTCAAACCCTACCAAGTTAAGGTTACGCAGGGTCAGTGGGAAGGGGGGGGGGTTCTTCAGGGCACAATCGAATGGACCCCATTACCATTTAACTTTCACGAAATCGTAATGACACTACGAACGAACCGTACCACTGGTGGGGATAGAATCCGCGGTCAGTCAAAACTCCAGACCGACGCGTTAGCCACTGGGCCAGCGGTTAACGCGTCGGTTTGGAGTTTTATGACTGACCGCGGGTTCTATCTCCACCCGTGATAAGCTTTTTTTTTACACCATTTTAGGTTAAATTAGGGAGAGGGTCTTCAGGACACCTCTGAGTGGAACCCCCCACACCATCTGTGGGTTTAGCGCTTTTTTTTTTCTTTAGATATTTAAAATTATTTGGGACAAGAACATGACAGGGTTGTGCCAACTTACTAAACTTCAGAGGATATCTGATGACTTCAGATACATCAACCAGAGCGCACGCATTGGCAAAATAAACAAGTTCGACTCCTTGAACTTTAACACCATAAGCTGTTTTAGCATGGCCTGAGGTCATGCTGGCTACGGTCATTTGACCCCTCATTGTCTGCTGGTTAGTCTTGAGCAGCCAGCCGTCCCTGTACCGTGACGCGGGGACACCGTCAAACATGTCTGCCAAAAATAGAATGATACAGCAATCTTATTTACTTGTAAACGTAATGGGTATATTTTTTATAGATCTCTTGACAAATGCAAGATACATTAATATTAAAAAGAACATTCAGAAGTCGTGTAGTTTTTCTATAAACAGCAGAAGAGGATATTCTGAAAGGCGAAAGTACTTCAAGACAGGAGTCTCATGAAGGGTTAATATTAAAGAGTCAGAGGTGGCGATTAACCAAGGTGAGAAGGGGGATGAGGCGGAAAAAAAATGAATTTAGGAATTGCAATTAAGTACCACCTACCTAGGTAGGTAAGCGAGGTGACAGAGGTAGTGCCTCTCAGATACAGAGTGGCGGTGATAGTGGTGGTCTGGTTCATGTACACCAGTCTCTTTGCTGCCCTGTTGGGGGGGGGGGGAAAACTATTAGTTCCTAAGGAAGCACCAAACCTGTGGGGGCGTCAAATTACCATACATCTGCGGAAACCCTTAAGGGTCATCCAGTGCCCTGGGGGTACTGGGAGGCAATCATGTTAGATCCGAAGGAGGACCGCTCCAGTTCATTTGAGAAAGTCACCAGCATTCAGAAGTGTTTATGGCGTTGGAAATTGAATGAGAAAAAGACCACGTTTGTTTGATGCTTCAGGGCTAATATCTACTTTAACAGGGCTAAGCACAAACATGTCAAATTACAAAATTTAAAATTCTGCGGCGTTGCTACTAAAAGATTTCGAGTATCAATAATTATGCACTTGAGTGCATTGAATATGAATGCTTGCATGCTTTTCAATCACTGTCAACCTGAAACAGTTTACAACAGTATGATGACAAACAACTTATCCAAAGAGGGTAGTTTTTACTTAGATCACACTCATGAACATCAGGTCACCTCTCCTTTAAGGGAAGGAGACAAGAAAAATTAAAGTACTAATACTTACCATTCACAAAACCAGCCGGTTATTTTCTGTGAATGTTAAGTGAATGGCAAGGTTACTGCAAGGCAACTGAATACCTGCAAGGTATTCAGTTGCCTTCCCACTATTTTGATTAAAGCTTAGCCAAGACTTTTCTAGGACAAGATTTATCCCTCCCTCTTCCTCTCCATTAGTGTCTAAACGCTGAACGACTAGTTATGCCTGCCATGTATAATGGTCATTCCTATTTAACTGCAGAAGTTAATCAATTTATACCTGGTAATATTGACAAGTATTTCAAAGAAACGGTAACAAGTGTACACATTTTCTTCAATATTTTAAAAGCGGCTCATGTACACTTCTTGGCAAGAGTAAGGATAACAGGAAGTAATCTTTGTGGTTGTCTTCCGTATCTACGCAGTTTGGCAGATAAAACTGACACCTGTATACAGTCGAGTAATTTAGATAAAATTAGACCAGAACTTTGTAGGCTAAATGAATAAATTAATAGTTTACCATTAAACCCAATGACTGGCAAGTTTAGTTGGATGAAAACTTGCCTGTTTAAGTGAAAGACACTCAGCTGGCCCTTGCGATCGTAAGTGGTGAAGCCTCTGGTAGTTAGCGTCTGCAGTACTACCAGCTGCCTCAAGTGGAAGTTCCCGGAGACTATCTGAACTCCACCTAGAAAGTAGAGGTCGAAAAGCAGCAAAGAATACCAAAAAGATTCACTCACGCAATACCTTCATAAAATAGGGCTGCTGCCGCACCTGAATGTTACTAAATTTTATTCTTTTGACAAGCTTCATTACTTTGGTAAGCCCTACAAATTTAAAAAGGTAAATTACAAGATTACTACACATCGATAGACCCAAGTGTACACAGCTTAAATAGTTTTATTTAAGCTATATTGGTAGTAAATCACTAGGCTGGTTAAAGTTGTCAGGTAAAGAATCTTGCCTAAAATTAACCCCTCCCCCCACCCCTCTCCAATATTTTTTTCCCCATTAACATCCTCTCGCCCAGATACTGACCCACCTATCTACATCTGGCCGCCCCCCCCCTCCCCCAATCGTCTCCCAAGATAGTGACATCCCTCCAGCTGCAGAATAACTAGTGTTACTGTACTTACTTTGGTTCTTCTTGAGGGAGTGATGTAAGAGCGAGGTGATATTAACACTATTTATGAAATCCACCGTGGTGGGTCCTGCCTTCATCCCGCCTTCCCTCACAACCAGTTGCTGGAACAACTTCCTTCCTGTGTGGAACCACAGAAGAACTAAAGCAGCACGAAAAAAAATAAAATTGATCAAGTACTTCCACTTTTATCAGAATAGTGAAGTTTTTCTGGACAATTTAATTATAAAATACTATCTTTGCAGTACGCAGATTAACATTTACCTAATCAACATACCTGTAATCACAGCGCTATCATTTAAAAGTACAAGGTCTTGTAATTTTACACCTGCCAAGTGGCCCGTCTCGCATTGCAACCTACCAGAAAAAAGTATATAATCAATGTTGATATCTAAATTTGAAGGTATCAACAGTAACTAGGACAATACTTATCAGTATTGTTTTAATCTCAGATTTCATCTATTCCAAGTTACACATGCATGGAGCAGATTAAATCTGCTTAATTGGAGCTTGACTACAATAACCCACTCATCACGAATAATCTAACCAGAGCAGAAGCCACCTGCTGAAATTAGAAGAGACGTGTGAGGAAGTACTGATTTACCTTTCAGCAGCCACGTTAATGAAGACGATAGGTGAAAGTAACTCTTGAGTGTCAGAGGTGGTGGTCAGTGCTACGCTCCTGCTCAACTCCACCAGATCAATGTTATTGACACTCGACATGACACTAACACGACCTTCAACTGCTAAGTTCTGAAGTAAAGGTTCCATTCAGTAGTAATTTGCTATAAATAAAAATCCTTACTCATAACACTATGGATGCTCATTACTACACAACTATTGTCTCTAGAAATCTCTACCGCTGAAGGGATAGTTAATCAACACTAGCAGAGGAAATTAATCCTTAAGCCCTCTATTCTGGTGTTATGTAACATTTTTCGCTATAATATTGCACACTTTAAATATAGTCAGCTGAGAAGACGGAAATGGAAGGAAGGGGGGGGGGGGGACCACCCATGGTATGGTAGAATAGAGCTAATTAGGAAGACACTGGCCACGAATGGTCGGCACCTGGTTGGGGGTGTTGGGGTTAAAGTCTGATACTCACCCTGAACTTCATTGGCGGCAACAGTGTGTGGTGGCCGTGAAGGGTGAGGTAAGAGACTGCTGGTACACCGTTGATGCTCTCACCCTGGACTTCCCCACCAATCTGTTAACAACTTGCTTAAGTTATAAAACAGCTTCAAAGTTACATTGCACTAACGAATTTAAAAGAAAATGCTTTATTTTTAGAGTATTCAAGTGAACTGCAATATTCACGTTTAATACGTTAGGGGAAGAAAGTCAGCATGTGCGCATATAAAAATACATACTGCGTGTATGTAATATGTACGTATTATACAAACGTATATACACCTGCCACATACATACAAGCATACTGTACACATACTATATCCCTGTTTACACATTGTACACATTCATGCACTCGTACACTACAAACTCCTGTACATATACAATTCTCCACAACTTAAAATTTTACAACAGGTAATTTTTCAACGGTTGCAGTTTTCATTCCCTTAAAGGTAAACAGACTCCCTATGCATAATGCATTAAATCTCTAGAGAAAACAAGCATTATATTCCAAATGAAAACTTGCGTTAACAGTCCGAGTGAACGTCAACAAGATGGTGATGGAAGCATTATCGAGATGAAGGCCACGTTCAACCAGCCGGTCCATCGACATGCCCTTGACCGTTCCCACTTCCAGGAGAGACTCGAAAACTATGTTCCTTAGTTTTGCCATATTGGTCACTGGATCAAGAAAGGACGAAAACACATGCATTAATGAAATTTATTTTGTCTCTTGTTGCTGTATACGTAAGGTAAACATGCCAAAGTTTTTTTTTTGTTTTAAATCACATTTTCCAAAAAATTTGAATATATGGTTGAGATTCTTTGATCTCCAGGAGATAAAATGCTCATGGTAAAGGAGGAACAACTGACTACATTTATAATACACTGAAAATGCACTAAAAACACTCGACAAAACATTTAATTTATGAAAGTCAGCCTGTTGAGGGTAATCTGAAATGTTAGGGTGAAATGTTCCCATTAAATCACAACTTATGTTTATAAAGCTTAATTGCGTGCTTTTTACCCTCGCTAAGAGATTGAAAGTAAAAATTAGGGGGCATTAATTGATTTGAATATTCTCAAGAACCTTCAACAGCAGGATAACTGCTGTTTAAATTATTATTATTATTATTATTATAATCAAAAAGAAGCGCTAAGCCACAAGGGCTATACAGCGCTGCAGGGTAGGGAAGGAAGCAAGGGAATTGGATGGCAGAAGGGAGGGGGGATGATCAGCAGGTTACAGAAAACAGCGGGCGGGGGATAGTACGGGGTAGAGGGTAGCAAGAGATACAAGTAGAAAGGGCTGAAAGTATCAGAATTTGTGAAGTCAGTCAGTCGTTGTCAAAAAGTCAATGAGAGAGTCCGGATGAAAGGTGGGTCCATCAGCGAGAAGGGAAGGTAAAGAGAGAGCAGCGGGGCGAAGACGACGACAGAGGTAAATTCTGCGTGCTCGTTGATAAAGTGGGCAGTCCAACAGAATGTGGCTGACTGATAATGGAGCTTGGCAATTCTCACAGAGAGGAGCAAGACGCCTCTCCATGAGATATCCATGAGTAAGACGAGTATGGCCAATGCGAAGACGGAGAGAGTAGTCTCCCAACCTCGACACTGGTGATAAGAAGACGGCCAGTAACCTATACTCGGTTTAATAGACTGAAGTTTGTTGCCGAGCATAGTAGACCAACGTTGTTGCCAACGGGTGTGAAGGTGGGAAGATATTACAGCAAAATAGTCCGTACATGGAATACCTCTATAAGAAACTGGTAGGTCATGTACTGCTGACCGCGCAGCAGTGTCTGCCTGTTCATTGCCCTGTACGTCAACATGACCAGGGACCAACAAAAAACAATATCTTTATGCTTAGTAAAGATGCGGCGTAGCCAAAGTTGGATACGGAGGACTAAGGGGTGAGGTGTATCAAATTTTTGTATAGCCTGTAAAGCACTAAGGAGTCTGAGACAACCACAAATGATGACACAGGCATAGATGCAATACGGATAAGTGCTGTAAGGATGGGATATAATTCAGCAGTAAAAATATACTGAAATAGTAAATGCCCTTGT